CATTTAGTTAGGAGATTGGGATTTCCTTTGCCCCCACATCTCCCTACTTTCAGAAGAGCTTTGGAAGAAAATCCAAAGAGAACACTGACAGGGAGGGCTCCTAGGAAGGAAATTGCCTTCCACCTTCTTCTGTCTTGTCTTCGTGCACTAGGCTGTTCTTGCATTGCTCTAAACAAACACCTAAGACTATCATTTATAAAGTAAAGAGGTTTCACTGGCTTATGGTTCTGCAGGTTGTACAGGAAGCATTTCGGCTTCTAGCGAGGCCTAAGGAAGCCTACAACTATGGCAGAAGGCGAAAGGGGAGCAGGCACTTTACATGGCGAAAGCTGAAGCAAAGAGTAGGGTAGTCCCACCTACTTTTCAAAGACCAGATCTCGCAAGATTTCAGTCACTACCACAAAGACAGCACCCAAGTCCTGAGGGATGCACCCCACCATCCAGACACCTCCCACCAGGCCCCATCTCCGGCACTGGGGAGTACAATTCGACATGAGATTTGGGTGGGGACAAATATTCACACCATGTCACTTGACTGTATCAGTTTAGGAAAGTGCTATGACTTGCTTTATACTCAGTCGCCTCTGTTTGCCATTGTGCATGAATAATTCGCTTGGGTGTATTAGTGCCTGATTCTGCTGACTCATTCGTTCTTCTCCTCAGGGAATGACATGATGAAAAGACATCTCTGCTTTTGCTCTGAGATTTTGTTCTTGTCTGGTTCCTATACAGCGACTGCTTCCTCTACCTCCTCTTCAGCTAGCAGCTGCCACAGGGAACTCTGTGGCTCAAGCAGCAGCAGTTGAAAGATGCTCTCACTGCCCACTTCCTGTAGACAAGGAGGTTTTGGTGGGCTGCTCAGGAACTGTGCCAGCCTTGTGTCTGACTGGTAACTGACTCATGAGAAAAGCAGCCTTATGTCGGAAAGATAAGGGCCAACAAATTGCCTCCAGGTGGTGTTAGTTTGGAGGTGACTGACCATTCATTTCCTTTCTTTGGGAGGAGACAGTGGGGAGGGAATTGGTGAATAAGTGGTCTTGCCTGCATTTTTCTCCAGCTCTTAGTGAAGCATCTAGGCAGATAGTTGGTTCTCTGTGCTAGAATGGCTCATCATGGACCCCAGTGACCTCAGAATCCCTTCTGCTGCTGTCAGAGCATTAGACTCATGTGTCATCCATTCTGCGTCTACTCTTCATTACTCTTCTTATGCTCCTGCCAGGAAGCTGGCTGTGTGCACCAGGCGAAGTATGATAGTTCCATCGCTGCCAGATTTTTCTGTGACCAACCGAACTCCATCCCACTGGTACTGGTTTCCTTCAAATCTCTCCCTGACGAAAACACTACAATTGATCAGAAGCAGTGGTTCTGAGCCACCATCCCTTGGCTTGGCTTAGAGGGCCCAGGCAGGTGGGCCTGCCTCCCATCCCCTGCTCTTCCCTCTCCACCCCGCCTGCCTCGCTCCCATTTCCTGCAGGAGGATGCCTTGCCATCCTGGAGCTGTCAGGCACAGCTTTGCTTTGGCAGCACCGTTGCACACATACTGGTGGGAGAGGGGACATGTTTATCACTTTTCCTGGAGATTATCTGTTTAAGCACTTCTCTGACAGTTACAATAACAAGGGCAGTGTGTTGTGTTTCCCAGCAGAAGGACACTTGCTGTTGAAAGATGTATAGCACTAATTAGAAATACATAACATCCGGCCACATGGCAGCCTTCTCCCGGCCGCTCCATTTCCTGATTTCATGCAACTTTGACGACAGTTGGTTTATGTTTTCCATGAATATATTCTCAGAAAAATGAGAAAGTCTCCCCATTACATAGGAGCAAGAAGAATATTTCTGTCCGGGCAGGTATTTGGCCATAGGAATAACAGGAGCTGTGGTCACCTGCCCACATGTGGGAAGGGGCGGAACCAAGTTCAGACCTCAGGTGACTTTCTTAGTAAGAAATATTTCCGTCTGACTTCCTTAGCCAAAACCCTTACCCGAAACCCTTGAGCAAGTCTCTGCTTTTGGAAAGAAGGGGAAAGGCTGTTTCACAGTGTTAATGAGTTCCTCAGCTCCTGTCATGCTCCTGCTACCTGACACAAAGCCAGAGGAACCCAGGCGAATACCAAGGCAAACAATGCCTTTTCCTCCCCCACCCCGCATCACTTGTTGGCTTGGCCCAGCCCAGCCCTAGGGATATATATGGGCATTCATCAGACTAGGGCCAGTTTCCTAGGTCTAGCCCCAAAGTGGGTGGACTCTGGGAATCTAGATGCTGTTTTCCTACCCACTGTGTAACGGTGAATGCTTTCAGGGAGTGGTGTCTTGCGGTTTCTAGCCTGTGGAAGCCTGCGTGAGGCCGAGAGCAGCCCAGGAAGATGCTGTGCACTTAGTGCTTGTCTCACTTGAGGCTCTGGATGCAGGTTGCCGTGGTTACTTGGATAAATAACAGTTTTCTTTACCCTATTGAAAGATTGCAGAGAGCATGTTTTATTTGTAGCCGTGTGCTCCATCATACCTAGTACACAGTCTGGCACATTCTACACGCTCACTGTATGCTTGAGGTACCACTGAGCCATGGAGAAGGGCAGGCCTTCCAGGAGGTGCTCCAGGTAACATGGCCAGTCAGAGGTCTGACCCCCTCGATTGTTTGTGAAATCTCCACCTGCTTGATTACGGCAGAACAGTTACTGGTTAACACGCCACATCAGATGGACCAGACACATAAGCAGGCAGTGTTATTTCAAGCCTTTCTTTAGGAGGGGATTAGGGGATGGGGAGTCGAGGTGACATAACCATCACAAAGGACAGGGCAGTCATGAAGCTGCCTTCTAGCTGCTGCCTGGGAGGTGGCTGAGCACTTTCAGATCTACACCGAAGAGACTCCAGCTGTTGCTACCTTGCCTGGTCTCCAGACCTTATTGCAGGAGCCTTTAGAAAAGGAGCCAACCTGGAGTCCACAAAGACCACAGATCCCATTGTTCTTAAGCAGTCCGTTCTCCCCTCTGAGCCCCCCATCTTGAACTCTGAGAGACAGTCTAGCCTGAGATTGCCATTTGTCATAAATATAGAACTAGGCTCGCTGAAAGAAACCTCCCCTGTCTTGTCTCTGTCCAAGCTCATGAGAGTGTCTTATTGTAGCCTGTGCTTCACAAAATGCCAGTCTCTTGGAGCCGGCACACCCCACTTCATCCCTTCTAGCCTTCTGAGTGCAGGTAACTTCTGCTCAGTTGATGAGGGGGCACTAATGTTTATTCAGTGTCGGTTGCCAGGATGTGGCCTCCACTTGTCCTCTCCCAGCTCCCTCTGTTCTGGACTTACTCCCTTCTTCCCAGCTCTGTTGCTAGTTAGAGGCAGGATGTTGTCTGGGCGTGGCAATGGCCTGGACTGAGCTGGGCAGTACTGACAGTGCTGCTGCCTATGGGGAGTGTGAAGGGGAGAAGTTGCTAACTTTTCTTGACAACTTACATATCTTCCCCTTTCCTGCTTTCCATCCTCCCTCTTCTTGGCTCTTGGATACTTGTTTTCTTTCTAACAGAGGTTTAGGGCCTTAACAGGACAGGAATGATGAGACTGGTCTATTCTACTCACATGGATTGTTACCACTTCCTTAACTGCCTGCCATAGTTGAGTTGGAAAGTCAGAGGGTGACATCTGGGACCAGTGGGCATCTGCAAGGATGGTGGGAAAGCCACAATCAAAGAATGACTACCCTGATGCTCTTCGTTTGTTGGGCCCTTCTGAGCAGCAGCCTGTTCCTTCTTATGCCCAGTACTTTCAGAAGTGATTTGGGGCTGGCTTTGTGTACTCCAGTCATACTTGCTCCTGGGGCAAAGATGGTAAGGAATCACTGTGGTTGGGTAATGTCTCTTGGAGTAACAGCTTCAGTGAGGCCCCAATGACAAGACTGGTGAGCTGATGAGAGGGCTCCCCTTGGCTATTAAGGTTAAAATACAGGCGGGGACAGAGATCAGACATTTAGCTGATTATCCTTTTAACACTTGGAGATTCTGAGAGTTCTCCTGTAATAGAGAGGGAATTAACAGATTAGCTGCTGCCAGAGCTAGTGAGCCTGGCCCCTGATTCTGTCTCCTGTGGGTATGTGGAGTCTCCTCGGAGGCTGTGTGGTCGACTGCTGCCTTCTGTGTGTCACCAGCTCCTCTCGAGTTCAGATGACGTGGCTTTCGGAGAAGGCCACTGATGAAGAGTGGGTACAGGCAGGCTTTTGGGAGTATGTCACATAGCTGCCACCAAAGAGTAATTCTGCCCACCAACAAGGTGGCTCCTTTCAGTGACCTGGAGCCAGAAGGAAGTTAGTTAGCCAGGCTGAAAACGTAACGGAAAGAGGGTACTGGGATTGGGAGCCAGATTTATTTTTTAGCGCTAGGGGAAGGAATTTGTGAAAACAAAAGCCAACACTGATTAAGTGCTTATTATGTGCCAAGCACTGTTCTGCATAAAATTAACTCATTCCATGAAAGTAGATTATTTGTGTCATGTGTGTTTTCTTAGGAGGAGGGTCATGGAGAAGGTAAGGATGGGACTAAAGTTTGGTGATTCAAGAAGATCATTTTAAAAAGTGTATTTTTCCAATCTTAATTGATGACTATGCTCCTGTTAGTTACACACTAGAGAGACTGAGTTACTTAAATCTGAGTTCTTGTTACGATAGCTTTACATTATCAGTAGGTAGCTAAAGGCAGAGACCATGCAGCTCCAGCTCAGACTGCCCTTCTTGAGGTAACTGTTCCTGGGAAAGTGATGTAGAATTGACAGAGGTGACCCTTATCATCTTATTGAACACATATCCATATGCCAGACTTCGTGGTAAGTGCTTCACATGAGTCTGTACTTGGCCTTATGACCACTCTGAGAGGGGAATATTACTAGCCCTAGTCTTCAGTGAGGAAAAGGAAGGTCGGTAACATGGCCAGGGATGTGCATCTTGTAAGGCAGGGAAAAGTAGCCCTTGTCCCCCTGGGGTGCTGAGAGTTTCATTTGCTTCTCCTCAGACTGCTTCTCAGAGGAGTGCCGCTCTGTGATCCAGGAACAAGCTGCAGCTCTGGGCTTGGCCATGTTTTCTCTACTGGTCCGCCGCTGCACCTACTTACTTAAGGAGTCCGCCAAAGGTAAGCAGGAGGAGTCCCCGGCCTGGTGGGCTTTCCAGTTGCCTGACCTTGTCAGACCTCACAGTGCCTTGCTGCTTTCTCGGTGTCTTCTCCCTGTAGTCTCCATTCTTTCTTTTACCTACATGCCCCTCTTCCTTTTGCCTGCCTAACTAGTCCCATTTCCTTTTACAGTCTGATTGCCTCTAAGGCCCTCTTCTTTTTGTAGACTCTTTCCTCCCTTTTTTCTTCTTTAGTAGTTAGAATTTTCACTGTACCTATAAGCTGCTGCATGTTCCTGCATCTTCAGGAAACCAGAAAAGTTGGTTTCCATAATCGATGTTGTGTTTTCCCCTTTATCTTTGTGTGGTACCTGGTGAGTTCTGTAACCACCGTGGACCGGCCGTCATGGGAGACTCACTTGACCAGATAGAGCAGGTGCTATTCTTAGCCCTTAGGTTGAGACAGCATCCCATATCCTTTAAGGCTGCCCTTAGAAGTCTGAGCCTGATTGCCATAGCAGTAGAAGATAGGGCTGAAGGTTACACCTTTCTTTTCAGCTCCTAGATCAATATTAGTGACTTAATCAGACCCCACTGTCACCCCATGCCACACTAGCCTTGTGAATGCCTCCAGCTACGGAGGCTGCTTTTTTTTTTAGGGACAGAAAGGCAACTTTTTATTTGGAAATAAGTTCAGATTTACAGAACAGTAGCAAGAATAGTGCAGACAACTCATATACCCACCACCCAGATTCCCCAGTTAACATTTTACCATGTGGCCTTACGTTTGTCTTCCCATACGCACATACCTAAGGTTATTATTTTTCTTCTGAACAATTTGACTTTAAATTAGAGTTGCTGGCCCTTTACCCCCCAAATACTTGACTCTGTATTCCTAATATTAAGGATATTCTCTTAATGACAATTATCAAAATCAGAAGTCAACATTGATAAAATACTATTATTGCATTCACAGACCTTATTTAGTTTGTGCCAGTTGCCCTAATTTCTTTACAGCAAGGGGAAAACAAAGTTGTTGTCTTCTCTGGGATCCAGTGCAGGAGCACACATTGCATTTAGATGTCATCGTGTCTCTTTGGTTGTCCTTTAATTTGGGATGGTTTTTCGATCTTCTTTTGTCCTACATGTCCTTTTTTTTTTTTTTGAGACAGAGTCTCGCTCTGTCGCCCAGGCTGGAGTGCAGTGGCGTGATCTCGGCTCCCTGCAAGCTCCACCTCCCGGGTTCACACCATTCTCCTGCCTCAGCCTCCTGAGTAACTGGGACTACAGGCGCCCGCCACTGCGCCCAGCAAATTTTTTGTATTTTTAGTAGAGACGGAGTTTCACGGTGTTAGCCAGGATGGTCTCGATCTCCTGACCTTGTGATCTGCCCACCTCGGCCTCCCAAAGTGTTGGGATTACAGGCGTGAGCCACCGCACCTGGCCTGCCTTGTCATTTTTGAAGAATGTAAATCATTTGTACAGTGTCCCACAGTTTGGGTTTGTCTGATGTTTCCTTGTGATTAAATTCAGGTCATGCAGTTTTGGCAAGAACTCTGGTGCCATCTTGGTACTGTGCTGAAGGAAGGCTGGCAGGGTGGGCTAGAGGCCAGAGGAGAGGCTTCAGCCAAGCCACAGGGGAAGCAGAAGCAGTGGTGTCCAGGGGCAGACCCAGTACACTGGTTCTCTGTTTGTCCTACTTTTCAGAATCCTCTTAGGTGCTGGCGCTTCTCCTCGCTTCCGGGCCCATCTTTCCTGTGGACTTGGTCTCCCTTCCCTAAGAGCTTGCTGCCGTCCCAGCGCCCCAGGCCTCACTCGGGGGCTACAGCAGACATAGGCCCAGTTCTCACCCTTTGCCTCTGCAGCTCAGCTGTCCTCTCCTGAGGACCAGGAGGACCAAGATGACATCAAGGTGTCTTCCTTTGTCCCGGACCTGAAGGAGCTGCTCCCTAGTGTCAAAGTCTGGTCAGATTGGATGCTCGGCTACCCAGACACCTGGAATCCTCCTCCCACATCCCTGGATCTGCCTTCGCAGTGAGTTGACCTGCCCATTGCTTTAGCACCACTGGCCTGGGCCGGCCCGTGTTCCTACATCTCCCCTCTTCATCCTGCTCTGTTTCTTTCTGCCCACAGCTTGCTTGCTTCTCTGTTTCTTCTTTACTTGAACTTTTTTTGAACACCTTCCCTGTCCTCTGATGTTTTCGATTATTTTTTCCTGTTCTCCAGGCTTCTTCCCTCTCCTCTCACACTCACTCTTTCCTCTCACTCTCCATTTTATTTGTTCTTGCTCTCCCTCCCTCATCCTCACTCCGTATTGTGCATACTCACCATCTCTGCAGCTGCCTCTGGAGTCTGGATCTGTGTGGATATGTGTGAGACTTTGTTTCTTTCTCTTACTAGCTTTTCTGTGCATCTTGCTTTTTTTTTTGAGATAGGGTCTCACTTTGTCACCCAGACTGGATGCAGTGGCATGATCTCAGCTCACTGCAACCTCCACCTCCCAGCTCATGTGATCCTCCTGCTTTGGCCTCCTGAGTAGCTGGGACCACAGGTGCACACCACCACGCCTGGCTCATTTTTTGTATTTTTTGGTAGAGAAAAACATGTATTTTTTGCCATGTTGCCCAGGCTGATCTTAAAATCTTGAGCTCAGGTGATCCACCTGCCTCGGCCTCCCACAGTGCTGGGATGACAGGCATGACCCACCACACCCGGCCTTCTCTGCATCTTTAAGGCTCTTTCACTGCTACTTGTGCTGCCTTCTGCACTTTGTCTCCTGGCATGGCAGCATGTGGGGAGGCTGAGTGCAGGCACATTTCTCCTCCATTCACTCATGCCCTGTCTTCTCACCATGCCCCTGCCCTCTCACCATGCCCCTGCCCTTGCCCCCTGTATTCTCACCATGCCCCTGCCATTGCCCCATCTTCTCACCATGCCCCTGCCCTCGTCCCATCTTTTCACCATGCCCCTGCCCTCGTCCCATCTTCTCACCATGCCCCTGCCCTCGTCCCATCTTTTCACCATGCCTGTGCCCTCACCCCCTGTCTTCTCACCATGCCCCTGCCCTCGTCCCGTCTTCTCACCATGCCCCTGCCCTCACCCCCTGTCTTTGTGTGTCACTGTGGCATCTCTCAGAGCATTTGTGTGTGGGACAGAGCATTTGTGTATTGGGGGCGGGGGGCAGGTGTTGGAGTCTGTGTGTCTGCCTGGGTGTATTTACGTAGATCAGTTTATGTGTTTGTATGCCTTTTTCTTTTTTTTAGTTGTGGAGATAAATATATATAACATTTGCCATGTTAACCATTTCTAAGTTCAGTGACATAAATTACATTTACAGAGTGTTGTGCAACCCCATATGGTTACTTCTTTTATCTTTGTCTATATCTGTGTCTGGGTTGTGTCCGACTCTGTGCTTGTCTAGGTCCATTTGTCTGTGTGTCTGTAAGTCTGTGTGTGTCTTAGTGTCTGTGTCTGAGTGCAAAGTTCTGTGTGTCTGCCTCTGGGGGCCTGTCTGGGGGTCTTTCGGTGTGCCTATCCATGTCTGTCTGTGTATACGTGTCCATGTGCATCCATCCAACTGTGGCCACGTGTGTTATCCGTATGTGTTCATGTGGGATGTCCATATCTGTGTCTGTATTTGTGTCTATACCTGTTTGTGTCTGTATATCCTTGAGTATATATGTCTCTGTATGGGGTTCATGTGTCCCCATGGAGGTCTCTTTCTGTGTTTCCATGTCTCTGTGTCCGCATCTATAGCTGTGTGTTTTTTTTTTTTGAGATGGAGTCCCGCTCTGTCGCCCAGGCTGGAGTGCAGTGGCACAATCTTGGCTCACTGCGACCTCTGTTTCCTGGGTTCAAGCTATTCTCCTACCTCAGCCTCCCGTGTCCCTGGGATTACAGGCATCTGCCACCATGCCCCGCTAGTTTTTGTGTTTTTAATAGAGACGGGGTTTCACCACATTGGCCAGGCTGGTCTCAAGCTCCTGACCTCGGCGATCCACTCACCTCGGCCTCCCAAAGTGCTGGGATTATAGGCGTGAACCACTATGCCCAGCGTTTTTTATTTTTGAGACGGAGTTTTGCTCTTGTTGCCCAGGCTGGAGTATAATGGCGTGACCTCAGCTTACTGCAACCTTGGCCTCCCATGTTTAAGCAATTCTCCTGCCTCAGCCTCCCAAGTAGCTGGGACTACAGGCATGTACCACCATACCCAGCTAATTTTGTGTTTTTAGTAGAGATAAGATTTGACCATGTTGGCCAGGCTGGTCTGAAACTCCTGACCTCAGGTGATCCACCCACCTTGGCCTCCCAAAGTGCTGGGATTGCAGGTGTAAGCCACCGCGTCTGGCCTTTTTTTTCTTTTTTTTTTTTTTTTCCTTTCCCAGACAGAGTCTTACTCTGTTGCCCAGGTTCGAGTGCAGTGGCATGATCTCGGCCCACTGCAACCTCCGCCTCCTGGGTTCAAGCAATTCTCCCACCTCAGCCTCCCGAGTAGCTGGGCTTATAGGTGTGAGCCACCAGGTCTGGCTAATTTCTTTGGGTTTAGTAGAGATGGGGTTTCACCATGTTGGTCAGGCTGGTCTCAAAACTCCTGCCCTCCAGTGATCCACCCGCCTCTGCCTCTAAAAGTGCTGGGATTACAGGCATGAGCCAGCATGTCCAACCTGTGTCTTTCTGATTCTGAGTCCATGTCAGTCTGAGTCTGCCTTGGTCCCATTCATGTCTGTGTCTGTGTCTGTGAGTATATGTTCCTGAATGTCTGTGTTCATGTCCATGTTTGTGTGTAACTATGTCTCTGTGTGCCGGTCTGGATCTCTCTGTTAGAGGGGCGATTTCTGTGTATGTGGGTCGTCTTGTGTCTGCCTGCCTTGCCTTTTACCTACCTCCCTGTCTGTCTGTCTGTCCGTCCTCACCTGTCTCTGCCTGCCTGCCTCTGCGTTTCTCCTTGCCTCTGCTTTTGTCTGCCTCTGCTGTGTGTGTGTGTGTGTGTGTGTGTGTGTGTGTGCGCGCGTGCCTGTATCAGGGATCAGCATACCATGGCCCACAAGCTAATAATGGTTTACATTTTTATATGGTTAAACAAAAAATCAAACGAGTACCATTTCATGACTCATGAAAATTGTATAAAAGTCAGATTTTAGTGTCCATAAAGTTGATTGGAATATAACCATGCTTATTTGTTTACACTGTGTCTATGGCTGATTTCACATTACAGAGCAGAGTTGAGTAGTTGCCACAGGCTGTGTGGTTCACACGGCCTAGGATATTTGCAATCCAGCTCATTACAGAAAAAGCTTGCTGACTTCAATCTCTGTCCATGTTCCATGTGTCACATTCTTCTTTGTGTTAGTGTCACTATGTGTGTTCATGTTTGTACAATTGTATCTTCATGTACGTGTGTGTAGGCTCCATCTCTGTTCAGCCCTGTTGACTGTTCATCTCTCCCTCCTGCTCACTTTAATTTTTCCCTCCCTCCCTCCCTTCTTTCTTCTTTCTTTCTTTTTCCTTCTTCCCTCCCTTCCTGCCTTTCTACCTTCCTTTCCCAGGGTCTCGCTCTGTCACCCAGGCTGGAGTGCATTGGCACAATCACAGCTTGCTGCAGCCTCGACCTCCTGGGCTCAGGTGATTCTCCCACCTCAGTCTGTCAAGTAGCTGGGACTACAGGCGTGCACCACCACACCTGGCTAATTTTTTGTATTTTTAAAATAGAAATGGGGCTTTGCCATGTTGCCCAAGCTGGCCTTGATCTCCTGGACTAAAGCAGTCTGCCTCGGCCTGCCACAGTGCTGGGCCTCTCTTTCTTATCTCTACTCTTCCTTGGTGTCTCTGTTTTTCTCCGTTTCACCCCAGCCATTTCTCGTTTCCCTCTTCCTTTTCTTCCCCTATGCCGCATTCTCTGAGTGTGGTCTTCGGCTGGTGCTTTGTACCAAAGCTCCTTCATGCTCTGTGTTATGCATTTATGTGTGTTTCAGAACAAGCATCTCCAGTGTTCTTCTCTGGAGAGAAGTAATGCTGGAGGATAGATTATGGAGACCCTGGCTACTGTGGAGGGCACTTTTGGGGAGTAGGGAGGGGAGCTTGTCTGACCTGGGGACCAGCTATGTGAGTCTCCTAGACTCATGGGTGACCTCCAGAGGGAAGGTAAAGCAGAGATTTCTGGGCAACAGTTTCTGTGTAGACTGTGTAGTCTGATTCTTCCTCCTTTCTTTCTCAGTTTTTTCCCTGTCCTTGCCTCAGGATGCACCTCTGGACTGTTATTAATCTCAGTCTCCCCATGCCCTTCCCACCTCTAGCTCTGTCACTGTGTGGTCGGCACTCACAGCATCGGACAGTTCTCTGTATCCTATCTGTGGGCCCTCCTAGGTTTCCAAAATGCACTCCAGGCTGAAGCCTTATAGCTCCAAGCTGTGCAGCTGGGGCCACAGAAAGGAACTGATGGATCTGCTGGCTAGGGGACAGCTGTATCTCAGCAGTGATCCCCAAAGAGTTAACATCTACAGCCTCAAACTTTTCAGGCTATTAATCTCTAATGAGGACTAGGCAGTTGGCAGTTTTGGGAAGAAAATGCCAAGAAAGGACTCAGTTCTCCAAGTATCTAAGCCACTGCTTCTGAGCATGCACAAGGGTCACTGAGTGTCCCTTCCTTACTCTCAGGGTAGGGAGGCAGACCATCTGTCCCTGGAGCCTGGGCCTTCCCTGGGTCACCTCACCTCACAACCACCGGTCGCTTAGATAGGATTCACACAGCCCCTGTTTACCCAGATCCCGGGCCACAGGTCTGCTAGCTCTCTCACGCAGCATGTCTCCCTTCATCCCTCCTCCCTCTCTCACTCCTTTTTGGCTTTTGTTTGGCTGAGGAAATGGAAAGCTCACACAGGAAGTGCTGGGTCTCATTTGCTTGAGATGCTGAGTCTGTTTTCTCTTTGGATGCTGCAGCAAATGGCTCGTTGCCGGCTCTGAGCTGCTGCCCATCTTTGGGCAAGGGCTCAATCTACAGGCAGGCACGTGGTCCAAGCTACAGCCATCCCCGGCTG